TTGGTGGAGACCAAAATAGAGCCAAAAGGAAAGTGACTGCTGCTCTTCAATTTGTCAGCTTGCCAGAAACACGACTCCATATGAATACTAATGTACCTTATGCAACGCCTCCTACTCTCCTCCTAAAAGACCTCCGCTGCTAAATGTTGTATTTTACTTCACAATTCATGCTGCAGAAAGTGGAAACACTTTAGTACTGTGCAGATTCAAACTAGTAGAAATGTCTGCTCAGAAAGTTAAAACTACACGTTTGAGCTCGAAGCCGTTATCTATGAGAGAACGTGCGAGTACTTTCTAAACAAGGTTTGTTTGTTTTAGGCAGACACACACGTCGTAAACGTCCTGTAACAACTGGGCAGCTTTGACAGTTTAACAAACTGAGTCGGTCAATATTTACTGTCAAGCAAAAATGTGTTCCACAGACAGACGTGCAGCTCAACACAGGGAAAGTCCAAGTTACAATCATAGATGAACGACAAATCTATATTTACAAAGGGTGTGAAGACAGCAATTCTCAACAGAAATAACTAAACTCAAACAAGATTGTTGTCATGGTTTCTCCTATAATTAGCGTTAAAATCCTACCATTTCCTCAGTAAACGTCTATAGAATGACAAGCTTGACATTCTCTTTAAAATATTTTTAAATGAAATTTCTGCTCATTTGTGGAAGTTAAAAAGTTGGTTTAAAAGAAAGAGCTACAAAGATCAGTTCACACAGAAATAAAAGTAAAAGGAAAGAAAAGCTCTGGATCAGAAAACGGCTGAAAAGAGCAGGATTTGATTACAGGCTCTTGAAATGGTTCTTTGTTGTCCTGCTTTGTAAAGTGGACAATAGACTGCTATGCTTTTATCTCCAGGATCCAGCAGAACACACAGATTAAACCTGTGAGCACATGGCAATAAAGCAATTCATTTACTACCTCCTTGATCCAAACATGTACATGCTGTGTGCAGCTGATTCTACACTGCAAATAAAATTCTATGAAAGAAACTCTGACAACAAAGGTACCAAAATAATATGTTAAAATGGGGAAATACTCTAACATTAAAACAGCTGCAAAAAGAGTGAAAATAACAGCAAATATCTGTAGAGTTGTGACATTTTTAGTGAATTTAAATACAGTAAACCTGTGTAATTTTATGGTCACACATTGCAACGGAATAAATATTGTACATCTACAAATACAGATTTTTAAAAATGTTATCAGTAATTTAAATAACCAGAAAAACCAATGAAAAATTACAGTTAAAAATGTATTTAAAGTGTATATCCAGTCCTTAACATGCACTTTTTAAAAAAAAATAACAGCAAATATCTTAAATATATATAGATATTTTTGATAATAATATATTTTTTTAAGTAATAAAATTACATTTTAAAAAAAAATTTCATTGTAAAAAGTGTAATTTTTAAAGTTAAATGTTGCAAAACCATGATTTGCCATTCTTGGGCCAACGTGTCAATTATTACATTTTTCCTGTGATTTCATTGGTTATTATCTGTAATTTAACAAAACAGCAAAAATCTACAAAACAACAGAAAATAGTTTGAAAAATTCCAGTTTAAAAAGTTACATTTTTTACAGTTTATCCTTGTTTAAAATGGAAATTTGCTTTAAAACTTTACTATTATTGGATATTGAGACGGTAACAATGGTTACATCAGATAAAAATGTCTCCTCGAGCTGGAAATCAAAAAATCTAATTTCTCCAAATTTTCTCCAAATCCAAACCCATCTGCCAGCCTGTGTGTGTGTGTGTCCACCTCCAGCCAGTGATGCGAGGACTAAAGTTCACACACAGACGCAATTACATGCATGCTGCTGACATGGGCACACACATGCGTGATTGTTTCTCAACTCTTGTTTGTTCTGTTATCGCGTCCTGATAGCAGAGTCTGTGTCAATGACATTCCTGAGAGGACGCAGTCGACTGAAGCAGAATTATGGCACCGGCAAAAAATAATGTGTGATTTAAACGAGGATGTATTGAAAGTTAGGAATCAGATGCAACATACGCTGCAGTTTAAATGAGTTGGATTTTTGTCTTGTGCTGCTTTTCTCACTGAGCTTTAATCATTCTGCTGTTGATCTTCCCTCTCTGCTGCTTGTGATTGATATCATAGCTTTCCTCGTGCCTCCTCCAGAAGCTCCTAGTCTCGCCAAGTGGGCCAAAAACAGAGCGCCAAACTGTTACATCAGCGGCTCTGGTGCAGCCAGGCCACACCAGAAGGAATTTTTACAGGGTCTCCGTCCTGCGTGACAGACTCCTGATGCTAACTTTATTGTCATGCTGCGTGGTGGAGAGATCGCACAAATGTCAGAGAGCAGTTGAAGGGCGTCAGAATTTATCATCCAGGCGACCTTTCACTCAACACAAGCTCACTGACGGCTAATTTAGTCCTGGATTTAAACTTCACCTGCAGAGACGAACACTGAAGCTTCTGCAGACACTTTCCTCCTCACAGTTTGCTCGCTGTGGATGGACTGTGCAAAGAAAAAGCTTTTTCCACAATAACGTGATGGTTGTGCCAACTGTTACATAACATAACCCACCTTCCAACTGTGTCAATGACAGAGTCTGCCCCCGTGGGCATTATCTGGCCCCTGATAAAAAACCTTTAAGACTTAAACATGCACTCGTTGGTCTAAGGAAGGGCAAAGCCGGTTCTCGCATTTCCCCTTTTTTCTTTTTTTACGACAAAATGAAAAGGCAGAGAAGTGTCGTGCCAGCTGTTGCTTGGCACTTTAAAGTCACTTTGAATTGCGCTCTTTGTTCCTGTTCAGCTTTTTTAGGGTCAATAAATGGCAGCTAGTTTGCACTTTGAGAAGTCTTTACAGAGTTTCACTTCTAGGTGGGATTATTATACCATTTTATGTGCATTAGTGCTCCGAAAGTGGGAATTCCTGCTGTTGTGGCTGCAGTTTTGTGTTACTTAAGGGAGATAATTTATTCTACAACAATGCACAGAAGCTGTAATTTAACATTTTGGCATTTACTTGATGTAACTCTTTCATTTAAATACATTCATATGCATGTAAAGCACACAGGAAATTCACTTTTGTTGCTGTTCAGAGCTTCCTGTCTGTGCTCACGTGGTTATTTCTGATCGTCAACATGCCCGCTCTGATAAAAGTGCAGTCGTTTTATTGGTACGGCATCTCCATGCATGTCACAACCTGACTGAACAAGCTGTATTTATGTACTGTTGCTCTGGAAAAGATAGGAGAAGCAGCCCATGAGAGAAAGCAGGGATGGGTTGCGGTGGGGCCACGAGCTCAGTCAACTGGCAAAGAGCTGCTCTCTATGAATAGGTGAATGCTCAGTAACTTCTCTGTTTGGTTTCTCCCCGGTTCCCCCCTTTTCTCTCTCCCCATTGGTCTGGTCTCCCTCTCCCACTTTATCTACGTGCTGGAGCTTTCTTTTCTCTTTCAAAAAAGGCCAACATTGAACTCTGCTGGCTGCTCCTCTCATTTTACCTCCTCGGTGCAAAACGGGAACAAAGATTCCAAGCAAACGCTCAGCTGGTCCCTCGTGCTTCATGTGTTTAATATGATAATTTGGCCGTGTGGAGGGATTTCTGAAGAGGATCAAAAAAAGAAAAGAGGACGCCGCTTCAGCACATTTATTAACCAGAAACAGCTCGAGGTGGAAGGAGCAGCGTGGGGAAGAATCTGTGAAAAAAACAGACGTCAGACAGAAAAGAGGGCAGACAAACTGTGCGAGACATGTTGGACTTTTGTCAGAGGGGGGAGGGAGTGTTGCACCAGCTTTAAAGGCCATTGTTAGCTTCTATCAGGCGCACAAACACACCGCAGAAACATCACAAGTGTACCAACCTGAGAACCTGCTCGCTGAGGTTGTGTTTTCAGGGACACCTAGAAGGACAAGTGGAAGATTATCTGACAACATATGAACACGCCCATGCAAACACGGTTATCACTGTCATGGTGGTTGAAACTGTCATAAAGATACAAGATCCAAGAACACTCACCGCTTTGAGAGACGCACTTCAATTATAGGAGTTTATAACTGACACAATCACATGAGAGAAGCGAGTAGATCCCTGTGCATCACTGTTCAGATAAACAGCAGTGTTTGCTTTTCAGTAGAGTTTGGACCTTTGACGACAGATTCAGTCCTTCCCAACATGAAGGACATCAAGTTTCTCTTCTTTACAGCTGCACTTTGTAGTTGTGTTGCTTGAAGGTTTCTGTTGGATTCAAGTCAGGCGACATTCTTCTCCAGGTCACGGTTTTCATTTCTTTGCTTCATCGTGTGATGATTGGCAGAGTGCTTTGGATTCTTATCATGTCGGAATATTCCTCTTCTGCCAAGCGACTGGGAGTCATATTGTCAGCCAGTGTGGCACCTATATCGTCGTCTCCCCATCATCTTCATGCAGCCTCATATCATCCCACTCACACCTCTGTGCCTCACTGTCAGGACTATCACTGTGGTGGTCAACACTGCATACAGAAGACCCACGAACACATTTATCTTTGTCTCATCTCGATCGAAAGTTTGCTCCCAGGTTCATGTTGTGTAGCAAAGTTTAGCAGCAGTTTTGTGACGAAGAGCAAGCAAGGTGTTGTTTTTTTTAAATTGGACGCTGTTCATAGAGGTTGAGGCGAGACAGAATCCGTTGCTTTATCTGAGCCGTCACAGAAACGCTGATGTGGATTGATAGACCCTGTGCCAAGTGTTTCATTTGCCTTCTGGTTTTAGGAGATAGATAGATTGTCAAAGTGCCACACTGTGGCATAATTTCAAGAGGACGACCACTGCAGCTCTGATTAGTGGTTAAGTAGCTCATTTTCTACCTTCTGAACATGGCTTCTCATGTATTTCCTGTATCTTTTCCCATCTTTGTCTCACAGTCAGATTTTTAAATTCTTCTGACGATGCTTTTACACCTGGAGCCATGATGTAGACATGTACGAGGTGTGTCAGAAGAGTTCCAGGACTGGTGTCACAAAAGATATATTTCAAACTACAAACTACCAGTTTTCCCCTTCAGACGATCAACCTGCACGTCCACAAAGAGATCCTGCAGCGTCTGCTTTGAGAAGAGCTGAGAGTTGTGGCAGGACAAGTGGTGGTTGCTTCACCATGACAACGCTCACAACGCCCTGAGCGTCCGACAGTTCCTGCCTGAGAAGAACATCAACCTCCCTACTCTCTGTGTGGTTTTTTCCTCTTCCCCAGGCCGAAGGGGGTCATCAAGGGGACCCATTTTGAAGACATGGACGACATCAAGATGGCTGTGATGACACTGGGATCTGTCATCACAGCCATCTTGATGTCGTCCATGTCTTCAAAATGAAAAAGAATCCTTCCAGGAGTGCATGGCGGCGTGGCACAGAAGGCTGGGGAAGTGACTCCAGGGGGGATTAGTTCAAAGGGGGAAAACTTGTAGTTTGTAGTTGGATTTGAAACATATCTTTAGTGACACCAGTCGTGAAACTTTTCTGACACACCTCGTAGACCTATAGACACAGCTTGTAGGTCCTAAACTGAGAACGCTCTGGTGTTCACAGGTCATTTCCTAACTATAGTCATGTAGTTAGACTAACTGAAAATCACAGGTGTTCTCCGTTTAGTTTCAGTGATCGATCATTTTTGCTGCTTAAACTGTTACTTCGGGGTCTTTACTTTCAATATAGTCTTTCTGAAGCATTTGTTAATGATTGTTTATATCAGGAAATCATCTGTGTCAACTTAGAACTAATGCATTTATTAAGAGTTTAGAATTATTTGATATTGAAGTGATATTGCTCAGGGCTTCTCTCTTCTGTTGTCCATTTTTCACATAGGAAACCTAGAAATGACACATTCTGGTCATCTTTTGTTGGTGTTTTGAAAAAAAAATACTGATTAATGTCCTTCAGCTTGATAAGCTCTGTCTGCCCTCTCAGTCTTTATACATTCTCCTTAGCTGACCTGCTGCACACTACCTCATAATGCCCTTTTCCTGGCATTTTCCAGAGCACAACCACACACACACAGCACGTAAACAATTGCTGTAGTTAACCATCAACAGGACAATTCTGGGCACTCAGACGGCCGTAAGAGAGGAAATGTTCTCACAGTGTAAATATTAGCCCATTATGGTGTTATATCAAAACCTTTCAACAAGATGTGCGTGTGTGTCAGTGTTTGTTGATGTGTGTGATCACAAATTCCCGTCTTTCTAAGGCCCTGTTTGAATTTTAGACCCTTTGCAAATGGACAGCAACTCAGTCGTGTCTATTTTGGGAAATATTCTCTTTCCTACAGTTACATGCAGTTAAGTTAGTTGACAAGACCAATTTTATGTTAATCTATTAAACATGAAGCCAGAAGTTGATTAGCCTAGATTAGCACAAAGACTGGAAACAGATGGAAACTGCTAGCCCTTCCTTTACCAGCAACTCTCTTGTCTTTATAACAGAACCAACATGCTGTATATCCTGTTTAGCAGCTGTAAACGAGCTCAGAAACACTAAAAACAATCATACAGGTACAAATTTTATTCAAATGTAAAATGTATAAGGAACATTTAAATATGTAACACATTTAAGTACAAAATTTACAACAAAAACTGATCAAAAATAACCTTTTTTTTTTTAATTTTTTTGCAAAAAAGTACTGAAGTTTGAATAAAATGAGTTTGATTTTAAAAATCCAGCGTGACAAGTCTCATACCTCGGGGATTGTAATGCTTTCAGGGAGCTGAACACTACTGCCAGTCGATGGGCTCTTTTCCCGCCACTGTCCCACTTCCGACTTCCTCCTTCACTGCTGGGTTGCAGTAGAACGTAGCCTGGTCTGGAAGGTGTCCAAAGGAGCCCCACGACTGGTGGAAGGGTAAGACAGAGCTGGGCTCTGTTTGATTTGAGTCACTGCCGTCAACATTGGTGATTACATGAGAGTTTGGAGGAGCGATGTTGCTGTACGTTACAGCGGTGCTGGGATCCAGGACACTGGCACTGGTAGGAGTGATGGGGTTGCTGTTGGTTACAGAGTTATGGTCTGCATGGCTGCTGCTGCTGCTGCTGGACCCTCCAGTGAGACCTGAGGGGGAAAATGTCAAAGCTGGAGCAGCCTGTGGTGGGAGCAGGTTGCTGGCTGTGGTGGGCATGAGGTTGGTGGGACAACTGAGGGCCATGCGCTGGGTGAGGAGCTGCTGCTGCAGCCGCCGGTCCACCCAGTCCTCCTGAGGCTGCCGGTGGATCTTCATGTGGGCGTTGCGGGACTTGATTTTATAGAACATTCTGGGGCAGGGAAAGAGGAAGAAAGAAATGAAAAGAAGGAAAATCTAAACCATCTGTTGTGTCGCCCTGAAGCCAAAAGCACAGAGAGTTCATGTTGGGTTTTAGGACAACTGGTCCGACTCACTTTCCACACAGCTTACAGGGGAAGAAGCTGGCCAATGGGGGCACAGGAACCGCCTCCTCCAGCGCAAACTGCCTGCCCATTGGCTGACAGATGGGCGTCACCTGTAGAAACAGGCCCACTTGTAAGCTAGCATGCTGTGATTGACTTGTTGAGCTGCATTCCACAGTGGATAATCATGTAATGCATTTAAGTCATTACACAAGACTCCACAAACGCTCTAAACACACAGCATTATTTCCTTCAGGAAGCGCACTATTGTATTATTTCCTGTTCTATAACATCGGGGATCGTAATACGTGCTTACAGAATCATCACAGGACAAAAACAGGAAAAGAAAGAAAGTTTGAAAAAGATTGACAACTAAAGGAAGTTAAGTGAAATATCATCGGCATCAGTACGACACCAGATCATTGCATCACATATGACAGTTTGACAACAAATGAACAAGTTCCACCCACATTCCTGAGGATTCTTACATGTTTCTGCTGCTCCAGCGCTCCATCTCTGCCCTCCTCCTCCTTCTGCTTCTTCTGCTTGTCCAGGAGCTTCTTGCTCAGGTAGTAAAACTCTACACACTGGCTCACTGTCTTTGTCCTCACCTGCAACATTCACACACACAGCACTCTTCATTTATGGCGTCTACAGTCACACTATGCTGTCAGTCTCGCACTGATTAGTAATCAATGCATGCATGCATCTATGTATATGGACCAATTCCCTGTAACTTGTCTTAAAATACCTGCAAAACAAAAACCCAAGCTGACACATTAACTTGCACCAAAACACTGACATTTCTTTCAGTTTTTATTTGTGTCAGTGAATTTTCAAGTGTTGCTTTTCACAATCAAGTTACAGCGTGCAGTCGTTTCCACTTGGCATGAAGTGCTGGTATCGTTGGCAACAGGTGCTAAGATTTAATTAAAGTTACCCATTGGATCTTGGGAATTTAGCTGCACTCACCACTGCTTTGTGGTGACAGCAAAATGGAAGGAAAAGCAGATTACGTGACTCTGTTCCAATACATGTTTCATCACATTGGACCAGCTTCTTCTCCTGGACTACTGGCTGCCTGCTGTGTGTGTTTGCACTGAAATTAAACTGGTTTTCCCACAAAGCTCTGGCTTTGTAAATGGGAAGCAATTAAGGTGGCTCAGACCACATAACATTATTCCAGTGTGTCTTGTGCGCATTCATTCTCATGCATGGGTCCAGGAAGCAAGAGGAGCAGTGAATCTGGCTTATGCTAACTAGCTAAGTATGCTTATTAGGTAATATCAACAATCGCTCTGCAGAATAGCGGACGCCACCTTAAACGAGCTGTACGGGAAGCTTGCAGCTCAAACCAGACCCGAGTATTAACTCTGGTGTCTTTGCATTACTCAAACTGTAATTTTCTTCCTCTGCAGTTTGATGTGTCACTTCACTCCCACTGAAGTACACGGTGAGTCACCAAAAACAGAACAGGTACAGGCAGGAAAATGAGCACTGCACTCAGTACACCTTAGGAACGTTATGCTTAACCTTTATGCAATGATCCCGCATGAAGACAGAACACTTTGACCCAGTGATGAGCACAAAATAACAGTCATATAGGGATGGAAGAGCTGAATATGAATGCTCTACTTTCTCTTTTTTATTCCATGTGTAGATTCACATTTTAAAAAAACACGTGCTTTTGTCTCTTTGTGTTTTTTTTTTCACAAAATGATCTGATTAGAAAACATAGAACTTCCATGTCAGTGCAGAGACAGATCAGAATCTCATTAAGAGGTAAATAAATACAGCATAAATACCAATCGATGCATTAAAAACTGTGTTACCGTCTTCTCTATGAGTGAAAAGTCTTTTCCGTAAGTCCCGAGAGCTGCACTGAAGAGACTCTTTTCAGTGTCTGTCCAAGAATCACAGCCTGCACAGACAAAGAGAGAGAAATGGGGGAGGGGGGGAAAACAATGACAATAAATACCACGAGGTCATCCTGAAATGTGTGATTTGCCGGGATGCAAATTAATGCAGCAGTAACTGTTAAAGGACAGAGGAGATAATGAGTCTTGAGGACACTCGCTGTGAGTTGTAATGACTTTAACGATGCAGCTGCTGCGTATTTATGCATCTGTGTAAAGTTGTCGATTATTTGTAATCACATGTGGGTACGCTGGCTGAGTCGGTCAGTTTTCCTGACGTCATTCAGGAGGGATCAGACGGGCAGGAGGTGTCTGCTAGCTTCGGAGACCTGAAGTGATTCATGGCATCACAGCCCGAGGGGGTCCCGGAACACGCCAGGAATCTGAGACATCTAAACATTGCTAAGCTGTTGTCAGGGGGGCCCAAAAATGTGTAGCAACACCCCTGTCTGCGGGAATAAACTCACCTGACTGAGCACTACGGTGCAGAACAATGCGTACTTTGTGTGTTACGGGGTTCTTGGTGGACTTAAATGCACCAGAGAGAGACAAAGCGGATGGCATGTGATGAAAGTGGAAGGAAATCTGGGCTTCCACAATGCCTTCTATTGTATGTAGAGCACAGTGGGAATGGGTTCTTCCTTGCTGACTCATATTTCTCACATGCGTACAATAGCTGTGTGTTGCAGAGAAACACTGCAGGTAAACATCTTTCACTGCGACACATTTCACTTCATGTCTCTTCTCCATTTGTATCTCATGTAGTTAAATATGTTACAGATACAAAAACACAGACAACATGTAAAAAGGTCTTTAAACTTCAGTTCGTAAACCGAGGTACACTCTGGGTAAATACCAAGAGTTGTGAGAACATTTGGTGAAATTCTAAGAGTGAGGTCGAGGGTTACCAGAGTAGTGGTAGTCTCCTGTCGGTGAGGGCTGTGAGAACAACAGCATCTCCAGTGTGGCCTGAACAGCAGGGACGGGGGGATGGAGAAAACAAAGAGATGAAGCATGCGATGCAATTAACTGGATATAAACGAGTGGGGAAAAGGAGTCAGGATGCATGAAAGTAAGTCAGGATGGATGGAGGAGTAATGAAAACGATGGCATGAGTGGACAGTAACAGTAGCGAAGAGTAAATAAACTGTTCACCATTGTGTTCCCTTGACAAGAGTGCAGACAGTGCAGCGCCAGCTCGGTATTACTGCCTCCTCCTGGCAGGCAGCTGGAACTACACATGGACAACAGCTTCTCGACTGCACACAAACAAACAAACAAAACAGGAGGAATTTTAGAAGCTAGAACAATAAAGAGACAAGAAGATATTTGATGCACATGGATCAGTTCTCTGTGGCGTCAGTTTGGTTGCTTGGAACGTTGAAGGAACATTCATACATGTTGTCAAAACTGTACCTTGGTTTTGTAAGTGGGCATTCTCCTCCAGCTTGTCCCACGGTTTCCAGAGCAACTGTTCCCGAGGAGTTTCTTCCTGCGGTGACCACGCCGACGGCCATTTGTTGTCCCCGAAGCACGGAGGAAGATCTGCCTGGAAGTCAGCACCCACGTTGACACGTCTGGAGATGGAAACAGAAAGAGACACAAAATGAGAGTAAAAACAGACGTAAAATACAACAATATAAACTAGAAAAAAGCGAAACATTCACTGACACATTAGTACATTCTTTAAAAAAAAACAATGGTTAGGTTTAAGTCTGCATCAATCTTTTTGAGTTGTAAAAACTTCGAATTAAATTATGCTCAACTTGGAGAATTACTTTTCTTTCTATGATAAAAGGTATTTGTAATTACCAGCCTCAACTGTCTGAAATAGTCCAGGCATGTTAAGATAGAGGAACTCTGGAACTCAAAGCGAAGAAAAAGTTTTGTTATCAAGCTAGTTTTATTAACGTACCTCAACTTAAATTAAAATAACGCAAAAAGTTGAGTTTAAATTACACACAATGTTAAGTTGATGCGATTCCAACCTTTATTATGTCAACTCAACCAATCAAAGCAATGTTTGCAACTTACATAGCTCATACAAATCAGTAAATAAGATATTTTCTTTGTTAAGTTTTTAGATCAGATAGTGGCAACAGGTCCCTTTAATTTGTAGTAACATTTGCAGATCTGTCAGCCTTTTTTTCAAACAAAAATAACCTATTTAGCAAACGGTAATCAGGGTTTTTCCTGCTTAGAGAAATATTTTTGACTCTCCCCAGGGAGAGTTTAGACAGAGATACAGGAAACTCACCAGCACCAAAATAGAAAAGCACAACATTTTTAACCTGTTTTACTAATTTACTCGAGCAAAACTGTTTCGCAAATGGCCAGAAATAACGGAAAAACACCTAAACGTCTGTCAAACAAGGGAACAAACTCATTGCCTTAACTAAACATGGAGTGATCATGCTAACTACCATGTGTTTCCCCCTAAAGGCTAACTCTGAGCCAGGATAAACCCTGGTGACTCTGTGCTAGCATGAGTTTTAGTCGTATCTTTACTCTGACTTCACTTACGGTAACACACCACACTCCTCCTCGTCTTCTCTGCATGCTGCTTCTTCCCCTCGGTGATGGCGAGATGAGAGGGACGAGTAGAGCCCCGTCCCTTTGCGGACTGGGTTGAGGAGAGGCCGTGGAGTGTAGCGACCCCTCTTCTGACCTCTGCTGGTGTGAAGGATGCTGGGAAATGGTGTTCCAGTGTAGACTGGAGGGGCTTGTTGCTGCCAGAACACAGAGAAGGAATATTTTAGACTGCTGTCACTGTCTTTTTTTGAATTAATACACAGAAGTAAGACAGACAAATGTGGTCCTTGCGCAGGTGAATCCCTAAAAGCTGGAACGTTAAGACAGTGATTTAACTTTTTTTTTGGCTGCTTCGAGGCGTCTGCACAGCTACACCTGTCTCCAAGCTGGAAAAACACGCATTTCACCAACTCCAAACCTGTCTTATATGCGCACTTTATCTATTCTGCATGTCTAAAAATAAAAACCCAGACTAAGACTGTGGTTTTAGAAGCAGTAATGCGCTCGGAGCTAACGTAATTTCTTGACAAACGAGCATTTAGGCATCCGCCCACTGTGTCTGCGCAGCTTCTCCAGCTGTAGCAAGTCGCTGAATGCCTCCTCGCTGAACAGTCTCCTGAGCTTTGCTGATGGAAGAGTGACGGCAACGTGGGAACCTGGAGACGCTGCGGCGGTGCAAATGTGACCTTTTGAAACGCAGCGGTTGTTCATGCAGTCCAACAAAAGTACTGTTTTTTTAATATACTATTATAATTATGAGTGTTTATTTCAGTCTCAATGCTGCAATAAGTCGTAAAACCTGTATTTTTACTCTTTTGTTAGTCATGAATTGCTAAGTTTGACATGTCCGAATAGTTTAGGTTAAGTAGAGATTAAAAAAAAAACAAAAAAAAAACAAGATCAAGAGCCTGCTGTTTACAATGATTAACATTTTAGTATAGCTGGAAACAACAGTATGCTTATATGCACGCAATAAGCAAGCGTTTGTTTATAAACCACGGTTAAAACTACACTAATCGTCATCTGAAGGCTGTTTTCTCACAACCTGGTAACCAGAGTAGCATTGATTTTGTCGAAAGCTGCTTTTGCTTTTCCTGTCTCACAGTCTGCGTGTAAAAAGTCAAGCACCTTTCCAGGGATAAAAGTTAAAAACTGTACCTGCAGATGTGATTGGATCAAACTGGCAGATCCGTTCTTTACTTTCTGGGCCACCACATCAGGAGGTTTCTTTTCTACCACCTCGCGGCGTTGCTCAGAGAGGTGCGACGCATGAGGGGGAAGATGGAAGGAGGTATGCAGGGACGGACCGCTGGAGGGACACAGGGCTCTGGACGGATGGAGGGACGTGTGATGGGACGAGGAAGCGAGGAAGGACGATTCGGGACACTGAAGGATGTCGCGCGTGGCTGGAAAAAAATCGAACCAGTTGAAAGAAAATGAGGAAAAAAAGCAGAGGACAAAGTAAAGTCAGTTAACAGCAAAAAGAAGCATTTAACAGACTGTGAATGTGCCACAATTTACTGTTTTGTGTTATTGTGTGTCAAATAGAGCTCATCAGGACGTCTTAGCCATCACTAATATTTGTCCAAATGAACGTTACAGCGTTCCCTAACCTTTTAATTACGAGCAGTACTTCCACTTTCTTTCAACTGAAACCTATTATTTGCTAGTTGTGTTGGTCTTTAGGTCTATTATCCAACTCAGCCTAGTGTAATATTTTTTTGTGTTTTGTTATGCAGTATTTTTAATCAGTTACTTCTGTTTTTAAAGGACAGTTACACATATTGTTCCTTCATAAATTTACGATTTAAACATTTTTTATTGCAGCTGATTCTTTATAGGCTCTAATTCTCATGTTGTGGATCCAAAAATGGGGCATTTTCCATCTTACGTTGTACTTCTTTTGAATTTTGTGGGGATTTTTGTATTTTTTTTTTTACCATTACAGGAGAAACCTGCGAGATCACTTCTTCTGATAACCCACATGTGAACCTAAAGTACAAATACTTCTCAGTGTATTGCATGCCGGTTGTGACAAGTCAACATTTCAATTTCCAAATGATGTAAAGCTGTACAAAAACTGTTAGTTAAATGCCTTTACTTGTGAAGATGCGGTAAGTGAAACCGTCATTTGCATAGGGGAAATGGGAAACTTCACGATCGCACCCACTAAAACCCACATGTCCCGTAAATTTACATGTGGGTATTAACCTGTGGTTTCTGTCGAGGGGGGAAAATGAAGTTTTATTTAAATAATTTCATGTTTAAAAATGGAGCTTGCTGCAAATCAGTCTCTCATTCACAAAAATGCACTGCCCTACCTGGGATGTGTCCGTAGTCATCACCATGGGAGGATCGTACGTTGCATTCAGTGCTGCTGAGCTCGCCTGACGACTGTGAGAAGCAATGTGGCAGCAGTGGAAACTTCCAAATCATCCCAGGTGGCACGGACTGAAGGCGAGGGGTGAAAAACTGGAGCGTGCCGAGCGATTCTCCCTGAGAAGCTGAATGTCCCACGCTCCCGAACGCACCGGGGGAGTCCATTTTGGAGGGCGAGTGGGACGGAGGAGGTAAAGGTGTGGGAGGGGGACTGAGAACTGAAGACATGAGGTGAGACGATGTGGGAGGAGACGGGAAGGACGGGTGAGAGGGGTGAGCGGGGGAGGAGGAGGAGGAGGGAGGCTGGTAGGAGTCTGAGTCAATACCGTAGATTTGCCTCGACTTGATCAATCCCGGGGTTTCTCCTCTCCCGCCTCCAAATTCCCACATTTGTCCAGAGGAATCTCCAGCGGGAATCACAGGGAATCTCCTCTTCCGCTGGGAGAGGAAAGCCTCAGAGAAGGAGTCCAGCTTCTGAGTGTACGTCCTGCTGTTGATGTGCGCAAGGGCTCTCTGCGGCGGGCATCCTGAGGCCAAACTGTGGCCGTCTGCTGCTGCTCTCCACCTGTTTTCTGCCTGAGTCGAGGGAGAGACGCTGAGCCACGAAGCCTCAAGCTCTGCTGGCTGAAGCTGATCTTCACCTGAGCCGCAGCTGGACCCGTAATCTTCTTCTCCGCCTAAATAATTATCGCTCACCCTCGAGTCTGTCCTGCAGTAATCTACAGTGCTGTCGTTGAAGCTTCCTCCTCCGCTCCTGCTGTAGGAAGTAGTTTGTTTGGTGAAGTGGCTCATGTTGGCCTCCCTGTTGTAAACTGATTCACTTTTAACCTCACAGCTAGCGTGGTCGTAACTATTATAGTTTGCTCTGACTCGACGCCTCGCTCCGTCCTCGCTTGCACAGTTCGTCATGTAAAAAACGTCATTTGTGTTACCGTAGCAATCGCCTTTACCATGAAAATCCTCCGCCGTGCTTTCACAGCTCTCCGCGTCATCCCAGGCTTCTTTCTTGATGCCGCTATACCAAGTGTCATCAAAATGGCCGCCTAGGCCGTTGTCTCCATCGAGATGGCCTCCGAAGCTAGCATCTCCATCCAAGCTGCTCATGCTGGTGTTCAGGTAGACCCTGTTGGCCCCACTGCTCGCCCTTCTTGCCCCAGAAGAGGAGTTCGATGTCAAGAATGAGGTTGTGGGTTCTTCCCCTCTACTGCTAAACTGCTCCAAGGGATCCTGGGGAGGCTGAGAGGGCAGGTATCCCACATCAGAGCTCTGAATGCTGGGCAGAGCGAGGGGAAAGGACGGGCGGCGGTGATGGTGGTGCAGGTTGGAGAAGGATTGCGTGGACGAACGATCCTCCATGACGGCTCACTGGGTTTCGCTGGAGAGTCTACAGAGGGCAGAAACACAGAACAAGTATGAATAAACGTGACAGAACCATGCAACAAAATTCGTAGGGCTTGAACTATTAATGACGAATGATCTGTGTTACACCAGATTCTGTCTTTTATAACTGATTCCACATGTATTGCATTGATATTATAAACGTAGGCTTACGTATAAATTCTAACTCGTTCCTGTGTTGTGAAACATGTCACTCACTGGCTTCTGTGTAGTTAGACGATCAGCTTCATCAAACACAAAAGATGAAAGAATGACCCACATTACAGCGCTTCTTATCGCAGCTGTTATCATTTCTGAATCTCTCAAGTGAGCGGTGCAGTATTGGAAATTATTTGCAGCAGAAATACAGCTGCGTCATTTCAGTTGACTCGCAGAATCTAACGGGTCACAGAGTTTGATACAAAACCAGCATGTGATCGTCCATCAGTGATTGCTCTTCACACTAAAACACTGTTTTGTAATGAATGTGTAAACGTAGACATGAAGCGGGTAAAACAGACTTGTTTCAAATCACAAGTTGTCACATCCGAAATGAATAAACAGGAAAGTAAACTAATGATAAAAGTGAACGTATCGTGGCACCATCACTATAAAATACAGATTTAAAGCTTTGGTGCCTTTTTAAAATTCCAAATCAGTCACCAAATAGCAGTTCTTAGCTTTAATATCTGTCCATTAATATCGGCATCTTGTGTTGTCATAAACAACAAGCAAATTAGCAGATGTAATTGTAAATGCATGAACACTTGTCCAAAGTAATGCTGCAGGAGAAATCAAGAAACGAAGGGACAGAAATAAGAGATGTAAAGCAAGTATGAATAAATACAAGAATCGTGAAACAACATGAGCACTGCTCGAACTAATAGCACTACAAAGCGTCTGCGTTAAACCAGATTCTGTGACAAACTCTTGTTGTCTTTTATGGCTGAACAAATTTCCTTCATAATAAATATACAGGCTTATAAACTCTAACAGCTGCCATTTCTGCGTACTGAACCCTATTCAGGACTTTCATGTTGCCATACGTAGAAGGTCTTTTGGAACCCAAGAAAGAATATGTGCAAAATATTAGCTGGTATTCATTATAGACTTTTATACTGTGTTAAACACATTATCTGATAAGTTGACATATTTTTGGTTCCAAATGCATGACAAATGCCCCTCTTTTTGTATTAAAAACATCTTTAAAAAAACAAAAAAACAATACCTGTCACCTAAACCAAATGGCCTGGGGTCCAAAAGTCCTGAACAGGGTTAACCCTCCTATTAACTTCAAATTTACTGACATCTTTTGTCCTTGGGTTCACTTTGACCCCAGCAATTTAAACCTGCAGAAAATATCATAATTAAAATTGTTACCCACGTTTATGTGTAAATAGCCCTTTAAATAAAATGTTAAAAAATTATGTCACTGACTTATTTAAAGATGTTAAACATTGAATGGGGTCAAATTGACCCCAAAGATAACAGGAGGGTTTAATTATGTGACCAATTAGATCCTGTGTTCCTGCAGGATAAACCTGAATACATGAAAAAGGCCAAAGAGCAACGCATGATGCCACACATTCACGGGCTAATTTAACAAAGAATTTGGCAGCCATCAAAATTTCAAATATGAGCTAAAATACCGACTGTGGTGGCACAATTCCTGCTATCATCAACACGAAGGTGTTACATTTGCAGCAGTAGCTTAGCAGGATCATTCAAACTGGCCCAAGAGGTCACAGAGTTTGAAGCCGACATATGATCCTCCGTCAGATACGACTCATTCAACTACAGCACTTTTTCTAATGAAAAAGATCAAGTGGTGATAAAGTGCAGGATAAAACAGATGTGCTTCAAGCCGCATATTGTCAAATCTCCACAATCCGTCATCCTTACATGCTCTGATTATTTGTCACTTTGCTATACCTCAAAATTGCATCATTCAACCTCACGAAGAAACCTCGAGTTAGCGATGAGCTGCACAACTCATGACAACAAAACGCTGGTCGTCTACAACATGCAGATTTGAAACTTTGCCGCCTTTTCAAAGTTTAAAATCAAACTCCAGTTAGCATTTCTGAACATTCATGCAAGCATTCGGCTATAACAGTATCCCATTTAGTTATGTTTCTTTTGCTGCCAAAAACAGATTAAAGAAGTGTGATTATAGATAGAGATATAGATATAAATGTCCTCAACACTGTCTGACGGAAACCAAGTAACTATAAGAAGGCTGCGTTGCCAGTAAATAAAACAGAAACAAAACTGCCTTGACTTCATAAACGCTGGACGATAAATCTTCCCTCATAAAAGTGTTTTTAAACTCGCCCAAAGCACACATATTTACATTCAGCTGCATTAAATCTTAAACTCTTCACTGGCGTTCCTTCTTCTTTCTGCCTTAAAACCACATTCTGCTCTAAATAGGACACGGCGTGAGTCAGAAAGAGACACAACGAAGTAAGACGAGATGAAGAGACAAATACACTGTATACGTTTTGAGGTTTTTGTTTTTTTTCTTTTACCAGTCATTGCCGCTTAATTTCCTTTTGACACATGTTCGTCCGCCGTTCTTCGTGCTTTCGGCTTCTCGTCGCTCCCCCGGTTCTCCTCATCATCACTCTTTCTCACTCTTTTGTCGCTCTGCCGTCTCGAGTGTTTGTCTAATTGTGTCGCCCTTCAGATTTTCTCACATAGTCCTTCCTATTTGAGTCTCTCTCTCTCTTTAGTGTGCATCCTTTGACAGCAGCACACACACACACACACACACACACACACACACAACACACACAGTCTGTCACACATACAGCGAAATGGACACACACACACACACACACACACACATTTACCCACTTCAGTTCGGCTACTCACTGAAGCACACGTACTCAGACACACACTCTGACTTTCGAAGTCACACTTGCAGGTGTCAAAGAGGACCAGCGGGTAGTGATGTTGCCTCGCTGCCTTTTCGTCGTCGTGGTAACCACATCCTGAGGAAACAAACGCTGACGGATCTCCCTCCTTTCAGCTATCTTTATCTCTCTGCCCCCCCCTCCTCCATCTCTCTGTCTCTCTTTCCGTCTCTTTGCCCGTCCTTATCGCGCTTTCTGTCGCTTTTTCTCACCGAGCGCCCAACTTTGTTGTCTCTTGGCCTGACTTTCTTCTTCTGCTTGCTCTTTTTTTTTTTTAATCTCTCTGCTTTCCTTTCTCTTTGTCATCTCATTCGTTCGACCTCCTTTGTATGAATCTACTCCCTTTTTCTGCAACACATTCACCGCAGTCTGTGATAATAAAGTGGCACTTTGGGTTGACCTCAGTGAAGTTATTTGTCCCCGTGAAAGTGATTATAAACGTCTTTCCTACACATGTGGTGTGCTTCTGCGTGTGTGGACGAACACGCACCGTCTTTGTGTAACTACATACAGTACACTTTGCGTGCGGAGGCGGTAACATAGATGTTTACCAGATCAAGATTCTCCGACTGAGTCAGCTGACAGGACGTGAGAGAGAATGAAACAGGAAGAAAGACGGCGACAAACGATGGTTCAGGGAACCCTCTAAACACCCTGCAGCCCCACCCACTCACCCACCCACCGCACACACATGCACGCACGCACACACACATATGGTGTGCACCTTATGCATGCTAATGTGCTGTTTTCTGCCTTTGTTATGTCACGGAGTGGGATTAAAACACCTACTCGCACCTGCACAACCTCAAACACGAACCGCTGGCAAGTCCACAAGTGTGTGAGCGACTACAATAACCTCTGTCACACACACACACACACCGACCGGCGTGTTATTACTGATAAGACAGGGAGAGATTACTTTAAAGATCCAACATTAAAGCACATTTTTTTGTCTCATCAACCAGCATCTGAACTGACTGCTTAGGCAGCACTACAATGTAAAGACACTGCATCAGTGGTCCAAAAGACACGAGGCTTTGAAGTTTATGACCCGAGTCATGCTCGGCCTAAATGCCACACATGCTTTTGTTATTTAGGTAAAAAGAAGCAAACATATATAGTACCTTATGGACATTTTAGATATAAAATATGCACCACTTGAAACCAAATTGGAATCATTTATATTTGAATTTGAACTGCTCAGCTTGAATAATTGTTATAAAAATTTGAATTTATAAGATCAAAGCTGTATTCCAATAAACGAGAGAGAGGCTGTCTCTTCCCCCTTTGCAGTAAAGAATAGAATATGAACTGTTATTCTCTATCCTGCACACAATACTAAGTTAACTTGTGACGCAGCAAAGTGTTTGTTTGTGTTATTTAAGGTAGAAAAACTCATTTCTCCAGCACATGCATAATACACACAGTCATCTGTAAAATGTATGAATGAAGCACAATAGGAATACACAACGGAAGAGTCGGTGCCGGCCAAAATTGCACAGACTATATACATAAATGTACTTAATTACTTTATACATCTGTAAAACTGTTGCGTCACTGCATCGTGCATCAAATCTGGGACATGAATATTATTCAGTTGACACCAAATAGCAAGAGCTGTTGTTAAACAATAACGTTCTGAGCTGCCCGTCTGATCCTGTGCTCCGGTCTGCCAAATTTGCAAACTGTGATTTGCAGCATAATTTGCTCAGAATGGCACATAGCTCTCGTCAAACAGAAAACCCTCCTCGCGATATACGTGCAAACATCTGAGACAACGCAAGACTCGCAAATTAATGCGCACTTTGACAACTACTTGTGAAGCGTGACGGTGCCGCTGCTTCCAGTCTCGTGCTTCTAAGTTACTTGTGTGAAAATAAGTTCTTCCTCTGAACCCAACAACTTGTCAGCAGGTTTCAAAATTTGCCAAAATTTCACAACTTATCAAAGCAAGAAACTGTAAAAACCGACAGATTCTTCACCTTTCAAATAGTCCTTGAACTACTCATCTGTGACGGGCTGCACCACTAAAAAGCTTCACCGAATCTCAGCTCAAAATCCTATTTCATCATCTAATGTCAGGTTTATGCCACAGCTGCCCTAAATTTACCGCATTGGCAATTACAAAAAACATTTTTATGTTTCTGTAATGGTTAATACAACACTGTGTAGAAGGTCTTTAACCAAAATGATATTTTTAATGCTAAAATCTAATTATTATTGTGATCCATGAATATTCAAATTTACAGTTTTACAAAACATCTGATAAAATAGTGAAGCACATTATTATTATTTCTTGATTAAGATGTCAAATTATAGTGATTTATTTACATTCTTGAACAAAAAAAAGATGTGTGGTTGAATGTGATGCATGATTAATTTCTGACTTCTCAGAGAAACCCAGTGAGCCGGCTCAGATTTGGGTATAAAAAACTGAGTCTGAAATTCCTCATTCATGTTCAAAATGGTAAAACGTCGAGAGCTCACTGAAAATGAAAGACATTAAAGCACTTGATGATGCTGGATGATCCCTGACAGGGAAACAGGGACAGACATAAAGTGTTCTCACAGTGTGGTCAAGTCTGTTCTGGAGTCAATTGCAGAGACTGCTATTTACAGAAAAGGAAGAGGCAGGAAACGAAGTTTAACTGAAGCAGACGTCAGACACCTCAAGATTTTAAGAACTAGAGACAGAAGGAAGACCTCTGCTGATGTTCAGGCAGAGAAGAACGCTTCTAGATCAGAGTCTGAGAGGGTCTCCAGAATGACCGTAAGCAGACGACCGATGGAACAAGGCTTAAAGGGAGGAATAGCTTCTAAGAAGCCTTTATTGATGCCTGCAAACACCTCAGATTATGTCTGCAGAAAAGCTGGAGAACGTTTAAATGACACAAGCATGACATAGTGTAGATTCCATCATGGTATGGGGTTCCTTTTGTAGAAACGGTGCGAGCAAATTCATGCAAATCAACGGTATCCTGAACAAGAACGTCGACCACAACATCCTAGTGCATCACGGAGTCCCTCCTGGACTGAATCTGATTGGTCGTGGGTTCATGTAGCAGCAAGACAACGAGGCCAAGCAGACTTCGAAGCCGTGCAGAGACTATTTGACCCAGAAAAAGGAATCTGGAACACTGGAACTGATGCACTGAACAAGTCCACAGGATTAGAAGCAAAGTCTGGATTCAAATGCTATTGAACAAACTTGGGATGTAGTACATTTAAAGATTAATTGCACAAAAGCTTCATGTGTGGGAGCAGCTAGAAATTACTTGGAACACAAGAGCGTGTCGAAAAGTACGTAAAAACACTGCCAGCAAGAATGCAAGCTATTATCAAGGAGGCCGTGCAAAAAGTTTTGTGGTTATTCTGTGCAAAAAAAAGAAAAATGACTATTTAGTTGTTTCAGTTTGTTATTTGCCAAATAAATAACAATACGATTTTTAGTTTTGTACAACTTTTTGAAATATTTCTACAATATTTCTGTTTTCTCGTCTTTATGACAGGAGGTCTAATGAATGTGTTCAGCGCTGTGTGTGTGAAGCTGCTGTTGACTCCACGACAACAAACAGCCACGCAACAAAAACTGAGGGACTTTTCGGCTGAACTGCAGACTGGGTTCAACCGGAGCAGAATGGAAACTAAACAGAAATACCAGCAGACAAACATCTATGCTGTCTGGCTTTGTCTTTTTTTTTTTTTTGTTTGATTGTTTTTTGTTTTTATAACATATACATTGCACAAAATAGAGGTGCAGGACTTTATGTTGCAGTGAAAAATGAGTGAGCAAAAATGCTACAGGAGCAGGAGGCACCGAGAAACTGCTCATGTAGGAGCAGGTAAGACTCACAAACTCATGTCCAGTTTGGAGGATTATTTGTGATGCCGCCGCCACCTGCGATCTTGTCCTAACTAATCTCCGATCTGAAACTCTAAAAACAATACCCAGACAAACAACTGATTGCTAATAACTTAAGAATAGCAGGAATAAGTAGTGCATGGAATCATTTTCTCATGCCACCTCACAATCAAAATGTATCTGCGTCAGCGACCACCCACGCACTGTGTAGGTGATCATGTTAATGCTGAGGTCACCTGTACAGTGCGACTGTGCCTCAGAACTGGAAACCTCATCATTAACATGCATAATCGGTAATGTGGTCACTAGACACAAGCTGTGTCTGAGACAATAACCACAATATTAGCATGTTTGATCGCTCAGGCAACATTTAATTACCGTATTACTCTGTGTTTTTTGACATAAACTTCTCTCTTTTATTTTCCAGTGACTTCATGCAACCTTTTTCGGTCTAGAGGCTCAACAGTCAGTGCAAAAAAGTTTCAACTGCTGCTGCTTGCATCATTATAATACAGGTTGTCGGTGCTGTGGGAAACCATCGAGATCTCAGACGACAAATAATGCCCTATTTTCTCATAACACTTTCCTTACAGCAACATGCAGTTGACTAGGGGGGCTGTGAGGGAAGTTCTGCTGCTCCAGAACGTCTGAAAGGTGGTCACCGAAGAACAAGTAAACTCCTTTAATCCCACTCGTCAAAAGTTTTGTCACATATTTTCAGATAGAAGGTGCAGGAAATTAAGCGCATTGCAAAAATGTATATAAAATGACGAAGTTAAAGAAGAAAGGAATATAGTTTAAAAGCTTAGTTCTGCACCTAAGCGCGGCTCTAAGAAGTCGGTCTTCAGCACATCCTCACACGGTCTCCTGTGTGTGTACGCATTTGCATACGTTCATGGCTGCGTGTGCACGAAACCTGAAGAAAAATGCCGAATGAAAAAAGTGTGAATGAAAGGATGTGAGAGGGTGGAAGGAGAGTGCAGTGGAGT